AATGTCTGAGACTATTCTTTGACTTTCATTGATGCTGACACTGCCATTTATAAAAGTGTCAAAAATCATGCCAACTAGATGTTCAGGGAAAATCAGAGATGTCTAAATATTCAAAGTTTCTGAAACCAATGAAATAGCGCGCTTGATGAATCTGTTCCTCGATCCAGTTTTTGGAATATCCAACATTTTTCCCTAGCCATTCTTTGTAGCAATAACAGCTATGCAATCCACAACTTTTGATTTTAACTCAAAAACATCAATTATACCAGAACATAGGCTATAAGAAACTTGACTGCTGTGATTTAATTTTCCCTAGACAATAGTTGTACCTGGTATTTGAACGCAGATTATATTTTTCAGAAAATGATATCAAGAAATTATCAGGAAAAAACGTAGAAGATTGTTGTTATACTTATACATAAAAATTGATATCTGTAATGTGTTAAATTTCTTAATATCCCCATCATGCTTTTCATCACTGGTGCCGGGTTTACTAACCTATTTAAATAATTAATTGCTTTGCATGCATGGTTTTGCAGACTTTGCAACTTTAGCAATTTGGTTTTATGGGTGCTGGCCCATACAATATTTGCGTACAAAAGCTGACTATTTACAAGACTAAAGTAAAACATATTACGTGAATTACTATCGAGTAAAGGTCTTGACTTATACAAAACACCTATTACAGAGGACACCTTTGTTTCAAAAAGACCAATATGGTTTCTCCATGACAAATTTTCATCAAAAAGTACTCCCAAAAATTTTGTGTATTTTTTACGTTTAATTTTATTTTTATTAATAAACAGTTTAGCCAGCTTTAACGGAAGTTTAATTGACTTTTTTTTTTTTTTAATGAAAAAAAGTAAAGCTAGTTTTTTTACAATTTAGGGTTTATTTATTTGCTATGAACCAGAGGTTGAAATTTTCGAGTTCAATATTCATAGTTTCAAATAAAGTCTTTGCATCAGGATGATTAAAAAATAAATTTGTATCTTCAGCATACATAATTGTAGATATTTTTTGGGAAGCTTTATGCGTACCGTTAATATATATTAAAAAAAATAATGGGCCTAGGATTGAACCATGAGAAACTCCACACGTAATATCGAGGGCTCCTGACTTTTCTAGTAATACAAATTGCTTTCTGTTAGACAAATAGATTTGAATCCACTTAAATGTTGAGCCTATTATACCGTAATATTTTAGCTTGGAAAGTAAAATACTGTAATCAACTGTATCAAAGGTCTTAGAAAGATCAATAAAAACTCCTAATACCAGTTCATCACTATCAAAAGACTTATATATTTTTTATTGCAATCACCTTTTTTGAGAATTGAATTAATTTTGGCTAATTTAAGTTTGTCAAGGAATAAACTATTTTCAAATAAGATGATTTTAAATAAAATAATGGTTTACTAATGCTGTCCATAACATAAATAGCTACATTACTGGAAATACGATCATATCCACATGACTCGTTGCGTTTAAATTCAATAATATCTTTATTAAATTCAAATTTAGTTATCTTTTCGTTATTTATACTAGTGTTGGGTTTTTCTCCCAAAAAATTATCAAATATTTTATTTGGTTGCGCAATGATAGAAGCAAGAGAGGGGCCTACATTAACAAAATATTTGTTAAATTCTTGACATATATTTGTTTCACTATCGGAAATTAATTTTTGTGGTAAGGGCTCGTTCATAAACTACGTCACGCTATAGGGGGGGGGGGGGAGGGGTTGGTGATTTTGTGACGACTTATGCAAACTTGATTCTTAAGTATTACAATTTTGTGACGAGGGGGGGAGGTCAAAATTGGTTAAAAATTGCGTGACGTAATTTATGGACGACCCCTAAGCAAGTATGCTTTTTTTTCTCTCTTCTTGTTAGTTGGTTTATAACAGCCCAAGTCCGTTTTATATCAAATTTATGCTTATCAAGCTGATTAGCAAAATATCTTATTTTTGCTTCCTTTATACTATGTTGAAAAAACTTTTTATAATTTTTATAGATTTTTTCATCATCTTTATTTTTTGATTTCAAAAATTTTACGTAAAGTTTTTATTTTCTTTTTGATGCTTTGATTAAAGTTATTGTCATCCATGGATTCTTATATCCTTTGTTTTTTATTTATGTAGTAAAGTTTTGAGGATTTATTATCAAAGATATTGAAATGTGCTTGAGAAATTATCAAACGCAATATTAGAACCTGTTGATGAGTAATCATTATCCCATCGTTCAATTTGCAGTTTGTTTTTAAAATTATTCAGGTTTTTTATGGAAAGATTTCTGTAAGCCACAAAGCATTTTTTATTGTCAATATTAGATAGTACTTCACGTGCTATATAGAAAATCGAAAAATGATCAGAAAAGTCTGCAATAAAATGGCCTGATTCAAATTTAGTAATTAGGGGACTGTTTGTTAAAATATTGTCAATCACAGAAGATGATTGGTTAGTAATGCGTGTGGGCTTAAATATGGTCGGTATTATATTAAATTC